TTTCAAAACTTTATATATTGTACCAGGTTTTGAGCATGGGAGCTTCAATCTTGGGGCCTGCTACTGTCTGTCTCATGATATCAGGTAATCAATACATTTTTTCTTGTCAATAAATTGGATTTGTTGTGCCATTATAGTGTACCTCCCTGCCCCAAGAGGGATTTAAAAATTCCCGTTTCACACCAGGGAATTCAACATGTTAACAACGATTTAAAATTACAAAGCAGACTATAGTGTCAGTTGCTAGCATGTTTCTTAAGGCCAGGATGTGAGGTTTACCCGCTTATGTTACAATGATACCCCTAAACCTTGAACTAGCTAGTGTATCTAGTGCAACTCTTAAGACAAGGATAGTCAAGTTTACCAGTCCAATTTTTTTCCCACCACTGACATGGGATGTAGGCATGCTAACAATGAGTCTAAACAGGAGTCTAACTTGAGTAGAAGTGAAGGGATTACAACAGTGTAATGACCCAGCATTTCAGTCTTTTCAGAGAATTTAAACATGATGCATCTTGAGGTCAGGGTTGTGAGATACATTAACAACTTTTACTAAGTAGCCTCTGTTACAATAACAATTAAAGGTTTCTGCTGTAACATCTGTCTAAATGTGCTTTGTATATTTTGCAGGAGGCTTTGTGTTTGTCTTCAAAATGAGTGAAAACGATGCCCTTATCTTGGCGATAGTGCCCCCTGCTATCTACCTCATCCTGTGCTTCAAACTGAAATCTGATACGCAGCTTACAATTGCAGCAATCATGAGCATTATGTATGCATTTCTCATGACAGGATCGATTCTCTCTATTATTGGTAATGTATCTTAATGTATCTTAATGTATTAGTAAACTGTATCTTAAATGCAATTTTGAACATTTAGAGACCCCATGTTTCAAGTGTTGAGACTAGCCTTCAAAATATGTAAGGTGAATGCACTCTTTTGTTGATGAAACACTGGGCAGATTTTTGAACAGCATTGCTGGGCATAAGAAAATTATGTTAGAAAACCATGTCAGACATGGAATAGCTAATTAGAGCAATGGCAAATACAATATTGTTGCTCGTTCTTAAAAGAAAAGTAACCAAGCAACTTTAATTGCCTGGGCAAATTGCTCAAAAAGTTACCATATCTATCATCAGCAAAAAGCTAATATTATTTTTACTTGCAAGGATGTATTAAATTGCTCAATAGTGCCAGTCAACTTTTACATTATTAAGTAAAGTAAATGTAAGTCAAGTCAAGTAAATGAAGTTCAACATTTTACTATTTAAACCCCCCTGAAGTAGTTCAGAACTGGCTCACCAGGGGGCACACCAAACACCAATTCCTCTGACGTTTGTGTGGTGACCATACAGACACAAAAAGAGTAAATAAATAAAAACCACACAAACCAACCACAGCATAAACAAACATAACAATGTTCATAAATCAACCCATAGATCTACTATGAATAAGTACCCAGAATGCACAAGGGCTGGGTAAAAATCTCTCATGTTTTAATACTATATACGTCATAATATACTGCCGTTTCTGTAGTTTATATGTAATGTTATGACCACATGCCCACATGTAAAGGACTATTACTTTTTTTTACATTTTAAAGCATATACTTAGAAACTTACCCATGATCATATTTTAAAAATCAATTGCAGGTTTATATATATATATATATATATATATATATATATATATATATATATATATATATATATATATATATATATATATATATAACTTTCTCACAACGCTGCTATTCATGTTTTTGTTTGTATTTCTGTAATGATACAAATTATAAAACAGTATTACCATATACATTGTATTTTGTGACATATATATTTTTATTTTGTCCATACAATAAATATTGTCATATTGCAAAGTCCTACAATGTCCCCCGTAATCCAATACAATGTCAATACAATATAAATCTCATCATTGACTCTTACTTAAATACTTAAATCTTTAGGTCTCTAAATATTCATGTTTAGAATTGGCTAAACAACCGATGAAAAACACCTCTAACCTAAATCTCTTTTCATCTTAACTTTCATAGGTGATTTAGTGCTGCAAGATACTTTTCTGACCCCTAGTGGTCTGTTTCTCATCGGCATGGTCGTATTGTACCTCATCACGGCAGGTTTGCACCCTAAGGAGTTTTCACTGATCATCTATGGATTGCTTTACTTCATCTGCATTCCCAGTGGCTATCTGCTATTAGCCATTTACTCTATTGTCAACATGAACAATGTCTCGTGGGGGACTCGTGAGTCCGGCGGCCAGGCGAAGACTTCTGCAGTAAACAGTCTCAAGAAGAAGTTTTTGAACGCCACATGCTGCAAATGCCCATGCTTGGAATATGAAGATGAAACGAGGAGGGAGGTAACTCAAGTTGAAGACAAACCTGAAGGGGAAAATATCTCGGAAATACTAAGGTATAAACATGTCCACTGTTATTATTATTATTACAGTATTTTTATGTATTTTTTTAAAAAGTAAAAGATTAAAATAATTACCCTGAGATTACTGCTACTAATGATAATGTATTCTTACAATGTAGTGAAAACACCCAAATCATTCCTCAAAGTAAGTATGACTTTCACATGTATTATTGTTCATAATGTGATATTTTAGGCAATATAATTAATAGAAATCAAATCATCATTAAATCTGTCATATGTATAGATCGAAAACCTTGGATTCACAGTTTGCAGCCAAAATTTGGTTTTTCCTTGAGGAGTGAATCCGCATGTGAACTTTCTGAGGTAAGACAAATTTATTTATAATTTTTAGTAAGCTTGTTTTTTTTAATATTAAAAACACAAAATTAATGGATAGAATGAATGAAAATTACCAGCTTCAATGTTTATCTCTGTCTATGTCATGCTTTTATTCCCCCGTAAAATTCTTATTTGCTATAACTAGTTTAATTGCTTTAAATAAAAGTACCTGCAAAATGAATTTTCTTGACTCATTTAAAAAATGCTTTAGCTTAAACCCTGGTCCTTTGCACTTTGAGAGTCAAAGAACATAATAACAATAAAAACAATAAAATAAACAATAAAAAATGATTACCAATGAGGTCTTATTAAGCGGAAGGACCAGTCTGTGCAAGAAACTAACATTATTATATTTAGTGAATTAATTGCTGATGTAAATTTATTCAACCCAGTATCCTCTGGTTTGATATTATACATTTTTTGTATCACAGGAAGAATTAATTTTTTGGAAGGAAATGCAGAAAAAATATCTACATCCTCTTGAGGAGAAACCAGAACAACTAGCAATAATCGCTAATGATCTAAGAGAACTTCGTAATAAGGTAAGCCTCGTTATTCCAAAAATAGTGTAGTCTACTCTGCTTGCTCTGAAACGGTAAAGATTTACCCTCATGTTGTTTTTGTCTTTTTAAATACAGGTTACATTTGTCTATTTCTTCTGCAATGCACTTTGGCTAGTGGCAACGTTCTTCCTTCAAGCTATTGGCGGTGCAGTCACTATAAAGATCCCAAAAATCTACCCCAATGGGACTCGATCTCCAACAGAAACGTTGTCCCTTGATCCAATTGCACTGATGTTTCTTCTTGGCTTTGCAGCACTGCTGATAATACAGTTTATTGCAATGCTTTACCACAGGTAACTTGACTTATATATGCGTAAGATAACATAAAGAGTTATATTTCTATTTTTATATGCAAGTATTGATGCAATATGTCGTTTTGTTTCAGAATTTACACTTTTATCCATTTTGTGGCGTATGCTGATACTGAAATTAAAGCCCATAGAAAGCAGTCACAACAGGTAAGCCAAGCACAATGAATTTAGCCATTTTTAATGGTCAGCTTTTCATCATTGTTGGTTCTTTTTAAATTGACTGTGTTCACATTTTTTTTTTGATAGGTTGTAAAGTTCATGGACCATCATGAGACTTTTGAAGGTGACACACCAATTTCAACAAAACGCAAATCTTTTATATCGGATGGATTTTTTACCTGATACTAATGTTGCGCAATTATAATTGTGTGAATATTTATTTAATTTATAAACCTAAATGTTTTGCATGTTGTAATGTAACATATGTTGGTCAAGACATTGTATATGTATTTATTAATTACATAATATACCTGTTTATTGTCAAGTTTAATGTTATTATAATTAGTATTTAATTAGTAATAATTAATTTAATATAGTTATTATTGAATGTCATGTAAGTGGTGTATGAAGTTACAAAATAGTCAATACATTTTTTGCATTTTTTCCACATTATTATTTAATATATTTCCATGTTTCTTTATTTAAAGTTAATTAACAATTAATTGACAGTTATATGAAAATATATACAATGCTTCATTTTAGATCCGTTCATAAGTTGTGTAGCATATATTTAAATATATTATTATAATCTTTTTTGGTTGTAAAATTTCTTAATGTGATTCATGTTGTAACCCAAAAAATTAATCATAAAAGTAAAAACAACATCTGTTCCATCACCGATACAACACACATACTGTACATTTTCCCTCGGCTTAGTTTCTTTATTCATCAGGGGTCGCCACAGTGGAATGAACAGCCAACTTATCCAGCATATGTTTTACACAGCGGATGCCCTTCCAGCTGCAACCCAGTACTGAAAACACCCATAGACACTCAATCATACATATACTACGGCAAATCAGTTTATTCAATTCACCTATATCACATATCTTTCACTGTAAAAAATGCAGGGTTCCACACAATTCATTTTTGTTGTCCCAACACAAATTGATTAAGTTAACTTAACACTTTTACCAAATTTATGTGGATTGAACATAAAAAAATTTTGTTGTCCCAATGAAATCTAAAGAATTTTGTTGTTTCAGCTTATTTTAATTTGAAGTAGTTTGAACGAGCAAAAAGACGTTTTTTGAGTGTTGGAATGTAGGGGAAACCTGAGCACACAGAGGAAACCCACGCCAACATGGAGGGAACATGCAAACTCCACATAGAAATGCCAACTGACCCAGCCAGGGCTCGAGCCAGTGACCTTTTTGCTCTGAGGCGACAGTGCAAACCACTCAGTCACAGTGTCACCCTATGAATTATATATTTAATTTTTTGGAGTTATTAATTAAACAAAGACACTTGACCACTGTTGATTCTCACGATATATAGGCAAAACCAGACAACAATAGAAATTAAGTTCAACTTTATTTAAATGAGTTTAATGCGAAAAAAAAATAACAAGGAAAAGGAAGACCCAGGGCATTTTATAATATGTGTTAAATACTACTTGTGAAACTCAGTATACATGATAGTACACTAAAATCAGTCACACAAATACAGCTTGATAAACATTCATAAAATCTTTCATTTATAAGTAAGACCAGTAGTTAATTTACAGTCAAATATGAGCACATTCAGTCTGATCTGCTAACCATATACACTTAACACCCCACATAGCAAATGTTTTCTGGTCCAGCACCGGGCCACACAATAACTTTTTCTTCAGCCCAAGTACCGCAAATAATGATGGTCCCGAAGTGGCCCATAACTGGTTAAAGACAAGGACCACACATGGGCCATAACCAGCCTGAATCTCAATCAGTTTATTACCCTGAACTGGGCCAAAACAGGTTTATTATTGGTACTGATAATCAGCTATAAGTTAACCATATCAACACCACCATTTAACCAGAAACCCCAAAAACTGAGCCATAACCCAGCCTAACGTTACCTAAACAATGTGAACAATTGCTACACTGATCTGGGCCACACACCTCCCATCCAAAACTGGCCCAAATGTAGTTTGCCGTCATGCATGCAGTGCCATCATTGCCATGCATGGCCCACATTCAGCTGACATTGTGCATGCCATTGCCAGCAACATTCTAACAGCAGTGCCATAATGAGGCCACATTTGCTCCAAGTCCATTTGCTTTGTGGGACGATAGTGTTTGTTAAAGTCATTGGTCCCACTTTATATTAAGTGTCCTTAACTACTATGTACTTGTATCAAAAAATAAATACAATCTACTTACTGCGTTCAAAATGTATTTGAGTACACTTGTGGTGCTCTTAAGTTGGGATAGAGGGTTGGGTTATGAACAGGTTTGGTGGTATGGGTAGGTTTAAGGGTTGGTTAAGGTGTAAGGGATGGTCAGCAGTGTATTTACAAATGTAATTACAGAAGATAATTACAGGTGTAGTTACATACAGGTATTATTCATGCATAAGTACACAGTAAATACATGTATTTACACAATAAGTACATTGTAACAAACTATTAATTCCTGTGTAAGTACGTATTAGTTAAGGCCACTTAATATAAAGTGGGACCAAGTCATTAATGAAAGTTATTTGGTATCTTTTATATTATACAGTATTTACATCATGTGTATTAGCACCATGTCACGAAAACTGGCGAAACAGATTTAGTACAAAAACAGAAGGTTAAAAGTACAGCTATGTCTATGAATTATTCAGTACTGCGGCTGACTTCTCAGTGGTTCTCAGGGGAAAGTTCTGTCCATGCCCATATATTGGTGGAAATCAGGATAGACCAGAAACCCAGAGAAGGTTGTGTAACGTCCTTGATTGCTGTAAACGGCGAATCCGTCATCCTGCTGACTGTACAGCCAAACGCTGTCTCCTCTTTTCAATGACAACATCAGACTCTGACTCTGCATCTCTCTTCGTCTCGACAAATCCTCATCAAACACCATGGCCCGAACCTCGCCTCTGCCTGTCATGAGCTTCACCGAAACCGCCCGACGAGGGTGTTTCCCAACAGTGAACGCAAAGTAATAAGCACCAGGGAAATAGCAGGTGAAATGTCCAGATGTTTTGTTGAAATGCCCGCCTATGTTAACATACTCAACATCAAACGTAAGAGCTTCTCTTTCACGACGGCCTTTGCTTTCTCCCAGTACTGATGTGGTTCTTGCAACTGAAAATGCAGAACGCGGTTCCTCGCCAATCCTTCTTCGTCTTTTCCAATCATACTGGGTATCAGTAAAAGGAGGACAGCCTGGAAGATGAAGGTCTGGAGGAGACAGGTGGTTATTGAGATATCCGACAGATGATGTGGAGTCTGGGTAGACAAGATAACCGCTAAAGGTGATGTATGGTCCGATGTTACTGTAAATAGCATAATCTTGATTTTCCTGCAGAAGAAGATAAACTGTATCCATCGGCTTCAGGCTGATCATTATGTTCTGGCTTTGCATCTTCCGTCCGTGGTTTCGGTATCCATCATACGCCATGGCCTGCACCTCCAGCCCATTCTTCACCAGCATGACTGACAGTATCTTCTTTGGGAACTTTCCTACTGTAAAGGCGAAGTAATAGGCGCCAGGCAGGCGGCATCGGAAGGTGCCTGTGTCAGGGTTGAAGTCTTCGCCAATGTTAAGCAAGAGGCGGTCAAAGGTCACAGCTCGCTGACTGGCACCCAGAACGCTGCTGCTGCGGGTGGCAGAGAAAGCGGAGCGCAGGTTTGGCGTCATCGGGGGAATGTTGAGCGACGTCACACAACTCAGATAAGCCACCAAGCACAGCAGATGGGAAATATGTCTGCTTGGTCTGCATGATGTCAAACCAGCTGCTGTAAAAAACAAAATACATTATTGTCATCAAACATTGTCACTTTTTGGTATTGCTAAAATTTCAAGCTAAAATAATAATTATTCCCAAATGTGTAATTTTGTCATTAGAATTTGTTAGTGTGTGTTTCCTCCGGGTGCTCCGGTTTCCCCCACAGTTCAAAGACATGCGCTATAGGTGAATTGGGTAAGCTAAATTATCCGTAGTGGATGTATGTGAATGAGAGTGTATGGGTGTTTCCCAGTGATGGGTTGCACTGTGCATTCCACTGTGGCAACCCCAGATTAATAAAGGAACTAAGCAAAAAGAAAACATACGAATGAATGAATAATGTTTCAACTAAATTTGTGTGTAATGTTGAAAGTCAATGTAAGAATGTGTTAGTCAGAGTTAAAATGACCTGCAAAGTTTATTTGATTGAACTTAAAAAATTTAAGGCAGACTTTTATACATTTGGGTGTCTCTGTCAAATTAAATTTACAAAAGTAATTTTATATGCACATATTAAATACAATGATACTTTGTTTAGAATAAGATGCTGTTATTTTGAACTTTGTTTTCTACAAATCATTCTTAAAAGGGAAATATTTCCACAGAAATATCAAGCAAAAAAATATTTTTAAAAAGTACTAATAAATGAGCACAGATTGATTACATCAGAGCTGTAACAGGCCCGTAGCCAGCCTGGTGAAAAAGTTGGTTCTTTTTTCTCAAAAAGTGGACTTTTTTTTTTGCAGTTATGAGGTTTAGATATTCCATTTAGTGACATTTTAAGCATTATGTTTTAGCTGGATTAGCTTGTTGGATGGTCAATGTTTGATGTACCAAAATATTATCTAAAGATTTATAATAAAGAAATATGAAAAACAACAGCAACTTATATTTAAAATACAAAGTTATTACATCATATAGCATTAGAAAAAACGTAGTCTTTTGTCATTTGTTAGGCAAATAACAAACTGTCCAGCATTCAGCTTTCCTGAGTCCAAATTTTGCCATTTGAACAAAAAACAATAGAAACATAATAATAATAATAATGTAGACTTTCACAATTTTTTCTAGCTACTCTTGAAAAATGGGAACATTTATGGATTTTAAAAACAGCCTAATTAAATTAACTTTAATAGGGGTAGCTTTTGCTGTTTTAGATGTTTTCATTGGTCAATTTTTTTTTTTTTAAGATTTAGAATAAAAGTTAGGCTGCTTGTAAAATGTATTTTTTTTTCTATTTAACAACAGTAGGTCAATAGCGAAAGTTGACTTCACTTACATCATATTCTGTGTGGTCTTAAACCTTATGGGTTATTTGCGCAATTTATGATGTCTTAGCAGCCAAAATAGGACAAATTAGAAAATAGTTGCAAAAATTCAGGACAAATGGCAAATTCTGGACATTTGTCAGTGGGTGGTAGGTCTTACAAACCCCGAACCCCCCTGGCTATGGGCCTGTGTAAAAAACAGAACAGATCTTTCATGTTCTCAGTCTGTTTTGCCTGTTGAGAATCACAATGAGACCCACAATGTAAGGAATACAAGAGTTTAAACAAACATTTTCATCTAATCCTAGGTATTTCTCGCTTTCAATCACTCAAACCCCAACTTCAAAGTCCTGCACTTCTGGCATATGGATATGTGTAATGAAGTGGTTAAAATGCCATATAACCGTGCTAGGAAGTCAGGTTTAGTGCTGTCAGAATGCATTCTGCCGTTCATATCAAGTGCTCAGTGGAAGCAGAAGTCCCTCTAATTCAGCTGCCATTGTCTGTTCATGGTGTGCACCGGGTAAAGGCAATAGATTAGACAATGGTTCATCTGCTCCTGTGTGCTGGAACAAAGGCATTTTTGGGAATGAGGATTGAAACATGTCAGGGGTGCAGAACTATGGGAGACTTCATGGTCAAGTGAAGAACCGGTCAGTTAACAGATATGGACCATAATAAGGTACATTAAGGGTCAGTTAGTGAATACAGGGGTCACTGGAGATATTTCCTCTTATTTATGACTTCCTGTAAAAATGACTTACATTGACATGAAGGATTTAAACAAGAAATACTGTAACTACAGTATTATCATTTTGTGATGAGAATATAGATTTGCATGTGAAACAAAAGAAATTATAACTTCACATTTTTTCAATAGTTTCCTTGTGCCTTTATATAGTTTTATTATTCAATTTCATTACAAATCATTATCTACAGTATATTACATCTTTCTTTTGGGACTTTTAAATTGTATTTGTAGAAATATCAACTAAAAATGATTCTTACTTCTGAATAAACAGTGGTGTGTGTGAATAAATGTAAATTAATACAGTTTATAAAGTTAAAGCAATATTATTGCTTGGGTTTATTTAATAAATGTTTGTGCTCCCTTTGCACAAATAAATAACTATTAATATTTAAAAAGTAATACAATAAATGACATAAATACAATATTAAAAAAAAGATTTCAAATCCAGGCAATATTCAGACTGGACCAATAAACATAATATGAAAGTCTTTTAAAAGTTTGTCCCAATTTAAAAAAATGACAATTCATATAATATTTTAAAAAGAGAAACACTGAAAATGAAAATAAACTATTAGCGGAACTAATTAACTACTTAATGCTAATTAGTTAAAACTGCATGATTTATTTTTACAGTATAACAGTTTTAATAGACAGTAAAACAAAAATATAAATAGTGATTTAGCTACACTTAGCTATCAATAGAAACGTTAATATTAAACAGGTGTCATTAAACTACGACTCATTAACTATTAAGTCAAACAAAAAGTAAATTGTCCAAAAATATTTGAGGATGAACCAAAATCAACAACAGTAAGTAATATTATCTTTAGGAATATGTAAGTTTTCATACCTGGTCTTAGTATTGGCAGAAACTTCATATCTCTGATGACCTGCTTCTTTGTGTCCTGTAGGCCTTTGAATGACTCGGTTGGTACACAGCTGTGAAGAGGTCTAAAACTACAGTGCAGTGCCCCTCAGTTCAAATAAAAGAGGCATTAGAGAGAGAAAGAGAGAGAGCGAGAGACTGAGAGGAAGAGGAAAAATAGGAGGCGCTTCATAAACTCATGAATACACCTTTTTTGTGTAAAACTGTTTAAAATAAAGGGCTAGCTTTTCATTTACTATTAAACTATTGTCACAATGTATAATAAATACATGCTACTGAATGACCAACATCAAACTGTGGTGTGTGTGATATAAATGCACCAAAATATATTAGCTTTGTTCACTGGGAGATGGAGAACAAATTTTCCTTTTCAAAAGAGCGTGTAATCATTTATGCCGAGTACTATATATACACAATGCAAAGTTGAAGTCAAAGGAAGGTAGTTGAATTATTAGCCTCCCTTTATTTTTTTCTTCCATTTTTTTTAAAGGAACAAAGATTTTTTTCCACACATTTCTAAACATAATAGTTTTATTGACTCTTTTCTAATAACTGATTTCTTTTAGCTTTGCCATGATGACAGTAAATAATATTTTACTAGATATTTTCAAGACGCTGGTATTAGTTTATAGTGACATTTAGAGGCTTTAGTTAACTAGGCTTACTGTAACTTATTTAAGTGTGTCTGTTTGCACTGGTTTGCACCTACAGTACATTGTGAGAATACATCTCCATATTTTTGTGTGTATATGGGTGTCCATGCTCCCTACGCTATGAGGGCATCTAAATGTCCTCACAATTAAAATAGCAAAATAAACACTCTAAACAAAGTTTAAATAAAAATTTAAACAGATATAGGTCACCACTGGCTTGCTTGGTTTTGCGACTTGTGGAGCTGCGCATCAAAGGATTTGCTCTACAGTGTTTGGACTTTCAGCAGTGAAAATTAACCACACTGAACTAAACTAACTGAAATTCAACTCTGAAACAATCTACATTGTAAAAGTGCTATAGAAATAGAGATGAATTGAATTGAACTGAACTGAATATGCAGATGTTCAATAATACAATAGAGCCTGATGACCATCCAAATTGATATCGTGGGTACTTAAAAAAATACTTGAAAAATAATCTATTATTTAAACTTTTAGAGAGCATTTTAAGATTACCATTGTGCAGTAAGTGCTCATCACAGCAGCAAATGTTTGGAGATTTAATTGGTTAGTAGTTCATATATGAACATTTCTGCATGCTAATTTGGCCTAGGGCATAGTAAAAATATTGATTGAAAATTAACTAATTAACGCAAAGTAATTAATTAATTGATTAAACAAACTCTTTATAGGGTTATTGTATGTTAATACTGTGAATAAAGGCTTCAATAGGCTTAAAAATTAATTTGTTAAACTAAACTCAAAGTGAAAACAAAAGCTTTTATCTTAGGTGATCCTAATTTCTTAATGTCTAATAATATATTAGAAATTGTAGTTGTAAACTAATTACCAGTCATAAATGTTATACGAAATGGAGTTACTAACTAATATAATTAAGTTTTATAAACATAGAAACTGAAATAAATGTAATTATATCTCACTGTTGATTTTAATCCATTCAAATCAAACATTAACTCATGTTGCTGCTAATTTTACTCATAATATTCCTAATATTACCAACATTTACTCATGCTGTGACATTATTCTAAAGTTTCACCTTTTGCACTTTATCATCCTTTTGCAATTTAATTTGAGTATTTAATACTGTGCTCCATTGTTTTTTAGGGTTGTAAAAGCATCAGCAGTTAATCACAACAAAACAATTTTTTAGCGGCATAAGCAAAAGTGCAGAAATTTTTCTGAGTTTTAGGTTTTGGGATAGGTTTAGGTTCAGGGTACAGACTGGTGGTTAACTCAATAACTCCAACGGAATGTCCTCATTAAAAGCTCTCTCCCTCTCCCTCTCCCTCTCCCTCTCGTGTGTTTTGAAAATTTAACATCTTAACTCCTGATAACTCCTTTTTTTTTCAACACATCCCATAATTTCTAAAATAACAGCCTCTACCAAATGGTAGATATCTCGATTTAAGGTAAAAGTAGCAGAATTAATACATATACTATGGAAAATCTAAAAAAAATATGAAGTGCAAGACCAATTTATTTAAAAACATAACAAAAATAAGACATTTTTGAATACTAAATCATCTTTTTTTATACCATAAAATATTTTAGCTTTTAATTTAGCACAGTAATTTACATGTTTTGTTGTTGTTGTTTTATTTACAATGACACTAAAATCAAGGGCGAAGCAGTGGCACATTAGGTAGTGCTGTCGCCTAAAAGCAAGAAGGTCGCTGGTTCGAGCCTCGGCTCAGTTGGCGTTTCTGTGTGGAGTTTGCATGTTCTTCCTGGGTTTCCTCCGGGTGCTTCGGTTCCCCCCACAGTCCAAAGACAAGCAGTACAGGTGAATTGGGTAAGCTAAATTGTCCATAGTGTGTGTGAATGTGAGTGTGGATGTTACCCAGAGATGGGTTGCGGCTGGAAGGGGATCCGCTGCGTAAAAAACTTGCTGGATAAGTTGGCGGTTCATTCCACTGTGGCGACCCCAGATTAATAAAGGGACTAAGTTGACAAGAAAATGAAGATGAACTAAAATCAAGTGTAGGAGTGCAACAGGATTGTTTGTTAGATTTTTTTGTAAACCAACAATGCTGTTTAGTGTAAATTATTATTTAAAACATTAATTCAAACAATATAAAACACCGATACACATTTCAGCATTATCTTTTAGTGCAAAAGCGCGAGTGCTTCCTAAAGATGAAACTTAATCAGGTTTAGTTAGATACTCCTAATATAGTCAGTCAAAATATAGTCAACCATTTGGTCGAGCAGGCAGTTAAATTAATATATAAATACAACTTTTGAGGATACTTTATCAATATATTTTTTCAAATTAATCAAATATTTTTATTAACTCATAATGTAAAATCCAGAAAACTGATAATGGCTCTGATCAGCTGTCTTTATGAATACAAAACTTTTTTTCCCCTTTTTATTTTTATTATAAACAATGATCTGCAAAATATTGTAAAATCTGTGAATGTGTTCATTGATGTTTTCAGTGGTAATAACCACATTTTTCTCCAGCTATTATTTATTTCATTCAATGAAGGGTTTCAATCAGACTTAACAAGGCAAAAGTCACTATACAAATACACTTTGGAAAAGAGTACGAATTGCTGTTTTAGTACTCCAGGGGTTTAACTTTTTCCAATAAGAGACGCCAGTTAATTTCCCAGTGCTGTGTTGCGGCTGGAAAGGCATCTGCTACATAAAACATGTGCTGGATAAGTTGTCGGTTCGTTCCGCTGTGTCGAATCCTAACTAATAAAGGGAGTAAGCCGAAAAGAAAAAAAAAAGACACCAGTTTAACGTGTCATTTTAGGAATGTAGTTAAACCAGTTACCTGAAGGACTGAACCATTAAAAACTGAAAATTATTTGAGTAACTAGTCAAAACCTGTAAGAAATTCGTCCAAAAAACTTCATTATAACGGACTATCTAGATTCATGTCGGTTGAAAAAAAGAGAGAGCTTTCCTTCTAAACAAAACTACAACTTCCATATCATCTTCATCATCGTGAAAAGCGTACGTTTCCGCGTGCGTCTGGACGCACCGCGCCGGAAGGCGTGTGTCTGTGCACTGCGTCTCCGCCGTCAATGCAAACGAAGTAAGAGGCACCGTGAGTCAAAGCTAAAATCCGCATTCAAGACAAGATGGCAGGGTTGCCCCGCAGGATCATTAAGGTAACCGTGAAGTGAGACACACTGCACCTTTTCAGTCTTTCGTTTTTAACCATAATACTACTAAATCCTCTTCTATATATGAAAAGATCCGCCAAAGAGAAGCGACAGCTGGCTTAGCGTTTGGCACTCTGTTTGTTAGCCACTTCCGTTTCGGTACATTCATCGTATCCCGAATATGGGTGGGTTAAAAATACATCCACCGCTGTGAAAGATGGCGGTGGGCCTCTGTCTTATTCATTATTCATTAATAATTTGCACAACTAATCAAAATGATGGAGAAGTGAGAGTCGTTCCTGCAATGGAAGTGTACATGAAGCGGTGCGCTCGCGGTCATTCATTGCTGGAGCTCGAGCTGTTTGGGAGCTCTCGAGCTAACCCCTCCAGACGGCTAGCTAGGCTTACAAACTTGGACAAATTATCTAGTTTAAACAACTGCACAATTAGGTTTCATACATATGGGGTAATTTATCTATTTTCCCGAGTGCACGATGATTATTAGACCATTTACGACGCGATTATGAGCAAAATAATTCGGCTAGCTCGCTTCCTGTAGGCTAGGGAAGCAGTTGCGGCGCTAAATAAGCTAATGACTGCAGGCCCAAGACTGAAGAAATGTCATATAAAATAGAGGATTATGTTATCAAGACGTTTATTAAATAAACGCTCGTCCTTAATGAGAGATGTTGTTTATTCCCAATGAGAGATTAATAATTTGCAACGCCGAAATAAAGAGACAATTTACACATTAGATTTACCATGGATTTGTAAAGCTCTAAGTTAATGACGATGTTTTTGTGTCTTATTTTAATCACTTGTTTAACTATCATTTTTAATACAAACACCATGGTTAAACTATTGTAGGTTAACAAAATGTTGTTTGTATTTGCATTCAAATTTAGAGAGAATGAAAGTAACAATCTTCATACACTTTCACAATGCTGTGACAAATGCTGTGCACATGACTGGAGCTGTCAGCATTTAGCATTTATAGTCTCCCTTTCTGGTCAACAGAAAAATATCAAATATTTTGTAACAACGTAAGGAAGCACACATAATGGTAGAGTTTTCATTACAACAACATGGATTCACACTTTGCAATTAAAGCAAAACTGCATTTGTATATTGTAGTACAGTTCTTTTGAATATATAGACAGAAAGTCGTCTAAACTTCGCTTAGTCTACTTACAAATTTGACTGAAATATGAATGCAACATTGACAAAAATGACAACTCATTTTTCTTTATTTTTTAACCTCTCAGTGTAAAGATTAATGACTGTTGAAATGACAATCATCTTGCTGATAAAATCAAAACTATCAATATATGTTTCTGCATAATTCAG